TTTTTTTTTTGTAAAAGAATAAAAAAAAAAATCAGTAATTTATTAAATTAAAAGTGAAATTATATTTAGTTTAGGTAAAATGTAAGCATAATTGTATAAATTAAATTTGTCGTGAAAAGATTAAGAAATAAATCAATATTTCAAAGAATGTAAAGTTTTTTTTTTTTTTTAATTGTATAGTCCGCACGGTGCGGAGTAAAAACTCAACACTTTGTGTGGAGTGCTCCGCAATGCTCCGCACTGTGCGGAGTATTTCTGTTTTGAAAGGGATCAATTTCAAATAATTTTTTCAACTCTACTTTTTGTAGTATATTTGAAATATTCTTCAAGTCTATTTTTTGTACTTACACAAAAATAGTACCCATCTTAAATTATGTATGGACAGAAAACAAGTTGTCGAGTTCATATACAACGTAAAATATATGTGCCCGTGTCTGCGTATTTAATTTGCGAACAGTCACATGTACCTTAATAACGTAGGCGGTCGTTGTTATTTGGTACGTAAATATTTGTGTTAATTTTGACTGAAAGAAAATATTAAAGTTATTTAAATTTTTTTGAGGATAAAAAAAATAATATTACATTGTCGCAATGTGAAATTGGGTACATTGAAAATGCATTGTTTAGAAAGTGTTATATATATAGTAGAAGACAGAAACGAGATGTATAAAATAAAATAGTAATAGTATTTCAAGCACTTTAAATATATATAAATTAGGAAAGCCAAATGAATTTGCAATGAAACAATGATTGAGTAGTTTTGTCTAATAATCAGAACTTGTGAACCCCCATAGAGAAAGTAATCTGAACTTAGATTCATCTTTTCTCTTGAGAGAAGCTGTATGCCAGCAGCAATGAAGGTTATCTACAACCCACTCAACCAAAATGGTAGGGGAGGCTCCGGCTCACCAGCAGGGACATTTCATACTATGAGGATCTATGGCAGTCAAGTCTGAAAGCAGAAGACTTTTTAAATTCCTGGCCAGATTTTACGTGATTATGGAGAAGAAAGTAATTGTTGGTACTCTCTTCAAAACAAAATTGTTAAAGTCTCGTTTAACTGGTGGACTGCATTCTACTAGAGAACTAGTTGACCTTTTTACTTTCAACATGGTATGAATCCAATGTGTTTGATCGAAGATGATATGATTTTAATGGTGATTGAAATTCTACAGGGCTTTTATATACAGGGGATTTTTTACTGATAAGGAGTGTGATCATCTTATCACTCTGGTTTGCCCTTTTTTCATTTTAATAATTTGTTGGTTGTGATTTATTAGATTTAATGAAAAATGGAATTGTGGGAAATTGGGTTAACAATTAAACTCTTTATGAATAATTCAAATAAGCTGGATCCTTATGGCAAGAGGCGTCCCCCCCCCCCCCCCCCCCCCACCCCATCCCATCCCAATTGGACAAAGAGTCAATTATTATGTTATTAATTAATTCACAATTTTGAGGAGGGGAAGGAAGGGTTAATATCTTCATTTGTTTGATCTCCTTCTGATTGAATTTGGATGAGCAGGCTAAGGATAAGCTCGAAAAGTCTATGGTAGCTGACAATAATTCTGGAAAGAGTATAGAAAGTGAAGTCCACACAAGTTCTGGCATGTTTCTTAAAAAGGCTCAGGTTAGTGAAAAATCATATTCCAATATTTTTCTTTTTTCGACTTTGAGCCCTGTTTTTTCAATTTTTTTCAAGATTTATATGGTTTATATTATAGTCCGGATATTCGGATGCTTGTGAGTACTTAGTTTATGGATGTATCAACTTGTTTCTGCCTGTTAATTACGTTGAAGTGGATGCTCTAAGGTGGGTGGCGTGTGTTTTATATTTTATTCTAATTTGTGATTGTTATACTGTCGAAGGGATGCTATCTGAAAAGCAATTCACTTCCATTGAAGTTGTGTTGACATCATTTGTAAACTAAAAAAAGGATTTGTTTCGCAACAATTCTAGTCACATTTTATGTTGGAGCGACCACAGATATAGGTTTGCAATGCAATTCCTAGAAGTATTTAATTATTGATGGGCATGTAATGTAATGCATCCCTAATCCAATGAATCATCGAGGAGCAAACTTTGACAATGGGGCAAGTATGTCGTATCCTTTTTGGTGGAACCTTCATTGACAGGTAGTTTCTACGTTCCTCTCACCATATGGTAGTCTTGTATAGAATTGCCCGTTAGCCTTGGGGTTGGATATGCATTGTGAGCAAAGTAGAATTATCCTACTAGTAGTTCCTAAATCCAAAAGTCTTAGATTTGCGCAAACCAACTCAAATTATTTCATTAATATGCAATGGAAATGGCTTTTATCAATGCATGAATTAAGAATCTTATTTGACATTCCCATTTTAAAAGGCATGTATAAGTCACAAGTACAAAATAAAAATAAAAATATCCTCTATTTTTGAGATACTATTTCAAATGGTGACATTAAATTGTTCAATAACTAAGCTAGGAAAGAATAATTGTCTAGTCATCCAGAAAAATAATACAGTGTGAAAGAGAATGGCATTTCAGGTTGCATTCTCAAAAGAGCCGCGGAAGATGGAAAACCAGTAGTCATATTACATATAGCCAGCCAACTTTATATCATTTGTTGAATAATTTTACATGCATCTTAACATTTATGTTGTAGGTGGTGTTAACATTTCATACCTTGTTGATGTTATCACCTCTTTCCTGTTAGTACTATTTATTACACCACGGTCTTCTGCTTTGTTTCATAACAATTGGCTAAAATCCAAATTAACTAATAAAGTGTGCTTATAAGTGTGTTTTTACATTGATTATAAGTATGTTTATCATTTTTAATGCTTGACCTTATAAATAGTACAAAATTTGAATTTCAGGCCTCTGCGGCCGAGGATGATGATGTGGATTTGTTTGGTGAAGAGACTTAGGAAGAGAAGGCGGCTGCTGAAGAACGTGTTTACCATTCCGTTTATGATTGAGTTTTTCTCTTACCAGTTTATTTCATTGTGAAGCTTCTTTTTATTTAAGTGGTGTTGTATCCCATTATAATGTTCAAGTGTATGAATTCAAAAATTTATAATGAAATTATCAATTTTTATGTAATTCCAAAATTTGCTCATAAGTTGCATTTTCAATTTTGTCAATCTATTTGCATAAATTGTTCTTGTTAAAAAATAAATAAATAATCCACCCCAACGTTTGCCAAACGTTGTCGTAGGCTATCTTTCGCAACATTTGCCAAATGTTGCCGTATCTCTCTACTCTACGACAACACCTCGATTTGCAACACTCATTCAAACGTTGTCGTAGGCCGAACGTTGTCGTAGGCTGTTTTTGTTGTAGTGAGCATTACATGTTTAATTACGCAGAAAATTAAGTACGAATGACAAATAAAATATATATTACATAATGAATAATTGAACATTATTTAATGGCGCGGGGGGGGGGGTGGAAATAGTTTCATACAATATAATCCTTGATATAATATAGTAAAAACTTTATTATTATCTTTTAATATTTTATTAATCGTCTTAAAATGTAAGCTAAGACAATCATCTAAATTTTTATCATTTATATGTACACAATATCTTGGATAACAAGTAAATTTTAATTTTTTATAGGCTAAATTTCATTTTACTATTCCTAAATTTCCATTTTCTGCGATTATACATCTTTCATCTTGTAAATTAAGTATTATAGGACTATTACTTCCTTCTTTAAAATATGATTTTATTATTATTTGTACTCCAGCAAGGTAAATATAAGATATTTTATTTCGTTTTTCTTGTTTTAATTTTCCTAAGAATTCGTTAATATTTCTTTTTGTTATTAGATTTAATTTTATTTTTTCCTTGTGTATATTTAATAGCTATAACTTTTTCTATTTCATGATATTCATTAATAACTAGCTTCTTTTTTCTAAAAACTAATCCTAAAATATTAAATAATTTATTTTCTCTAGGGGGTTTTAGATTTAATTCTACTCTATTGATTTTTCTAAATTTTTCTCAATCAAATTTTCATTTTAAAGCATATCATTCAACTCCTTCTGTCCTTCATATACTTCAGTTTCTAAATCCTCTGAATTTTCAATTCCCATGATCTCTAGAGCTCTGATTCTTCAATTCTCCTAATTTCATTATTAAGAACTTTTTGAATTCTTTTTAAAATTCTCATTTCATTGTGAATAGGCATTTTAACAAGATATCCTAAATCTTCATCTAAAACTTCATCAAAATCTATTAAAAGAAAAATTTCTTTTCAAATTTTTTCTTTATTTTAAGGCTATCTGAATCTTTTATTTTTTCAATCAAATTTCTTGATTTATTAACAAGATGCTGAATATAACAATCAGTATCTAAGTATTCCGTAAAATCATCAACATACCATCCTACGCAAATTTCTTTATTATCTTCCATTTGTATGGCTTTAACTCCTCAGGATATAGTGCTCTGATTCCATTAAAGTGTGGGTGTACAAAATCCTAAAAATGTAAAAATACAATTAAAAATCATTAATAAATATCAAATTTTTCGAGCTAAAGAAAGGTGGAAAGAGTTGATAGTGTAGAAAAGTTAAATTTTTATTGTAAGAGACAAACAATTTATCGAATCCTAAATTAGCATTAAAGTTTTAAGAACTAAAATGAAATTTATTTAATATTAGAATGACTTGCTTTAAAATCTTTTATATTAAGGATATTTTAGGGACTTTAAATTTTTAAAATGGTAAACGTGTATTTTGAAAAGGTTATTGTTGAATGAGTAATGTTACTTGCAGTCGCTCAGTGCAGCAGTCGCAGGTACACACATGACATGTAATTATTTGATACATTAATGTGGTAATTTTTGATCATATTTAATGCATTAAATACACATTTGACTGTGTGTCGACCGCTACTGGGTTTGTAAGTAACATTATTCTTGTTGAATTGGGGTATTTTCAATAATTTCTCCCATATTGGCGTCTTTAGCTTGGATGCCCTGGTTCTACTGTATCTCTGTTGCCCACATCGAAAATGGAAGACATAGAGGATTTATTGGCTGGCGGCGGCGGATCACAACCAGGGTTCCGATTGCCGTTGACGGCTGCTGTAGGTTTCAACCCAAAACGTAAAAAGAAGAACAAGACTGTTAGCAGTCTCCCAAAGTCCACCTCTTTTCTCCAATATTCTGTCAATAGCTACGACACTACCAAAATCCCAGGCACTGAGGTCTCTCTCTATACCCAGCCAAATTCTTCTATATACCAATATATGTATATACGAGTGTATGTATGTATACTTGGGAATGTTGGAATCTTTATTGAGACGCTGATGTTTACTATTTACGTGTTTTTGTGATGTAATTCCAGACGATTTATATGAAGACTTTCGGGTGTTCACACAATCAGGTAAAGTACTAGCCATTTTCCTTTCTCTCCCTATGACTGTGACTTATTATGGATACGTGTCTATATTTGGTGTGTTTATAGAAATGTGAGTGCAGGTAATTTCCTTTTTATGTTTTGGTTAAGTGAAATAGTTTTAGCTTCTATTATATGTTATGGAGATGTCCAAATGGAAAATTGTAGCCTAGAATTGTTGTGGGGGAAAAAACAGATTTGTAAGTAGCATCTTCTTCTGCTTGAGTGCTTTCAAATAGTAAGAATTTGAGAGGAAAAATTCTTATGAATGTAACAATATTCTAGGGTACCCGAGGCTTGATAAAAGTCCTTCTTTTAATGGATCTAAAGCCACTAGAACAAAGATTTCGATTAACATAGATAAAGTGACAATCTTTGGATGGAAAATCTTCTATCTGTGTGAGGAGGGAGGTGATGTGACTGCTGTTTAAGTTCTGAGTTAAAGTGGTAGAAAAACGGTATTAACGTTTTGTGGTATGTAGCTTTGATTTGGCCTTCCAGGAACTACTGAGATACCATTTAGATAGGTTAGGTTTATTGTTAATTAAGAAAATTTTGCGACTGAGAGAAGAAAGGCATCAGATAGTTGCGCGTATTGGTAATAGGATATTCTTTTGTATATATTTCATGTTGAAGGTGCACAGATATATTTTTATATAAACAAGCATTTTTTTTCTCCTTCGCAAAGTAAATGAGAACTAAGTGACAGTAATATGTACAAAAGGAATACGAGAGTACAAAGGTCATTGAAAATACGGTGTTGCTACCTATGAAGCACAGATACAGGAAGTAATGGAGTACCAGTGACACTTATAGTCATTGATGTGTATTGGAAACATCAAGAAATGTTCTGTACACACTTAGTCTCTCTCTCTCTCTCTATCTATTTTTTTATTTGTTTCACATGCCGCTGACAAGGCAAGCCCATTTACAACTTTGACACAAAATGAAAATAACATAAACAGATAAAATTTTGGGCAAATGTTCTTTGATACTTCTAGCAAAATAACTTAAACCCTCCAACAATAGTCATGCTTCCAGCTAATAATCGTGCATCAACAATTTCTCTGGGTGATTTTATAAAGTGAATACATGAAATATGAGAGTGGGGAGGCAGATAGGAGAGAGATCTGAGCAAGAAGATGGGCGGAGAAGTGAGAAGAGGAAATGGAACATTCTGGATGGTTGGTAAAAATTTGGAGACGGGTAAAATGAAAAATATTCTATAGTAGGAGTCCAGAGATTAATCTTTTTAATGAATATTTCAGATGTACAGTTGAGTTATTAAGCCAATATCCAGAATATATTCTAGAAGTCACTTTTCTTCCCAATTGCTTTACTTTGTGTTTAGTTTCATTTTTAGACTCCTCTCAACTTCCAACTTTAGATATCTTTTTTAAATGTGGATTTTCTTTATGATCATAATGCATTTCTCAATAATGTTTGTTCCAGAGTGATAGCGAATATATGGCAGGCCAGCTTTCAGCATTTGGCTATAATTTCAGTGATAATCCAGATGAGGCAGACTTGTGGATAATAAATACGTGAGGCATCTACTTAGTCTTCTTCGCATTTTTCTCTTCTTTTTTTTCTTCTCAACATAAACAAGAATTTCTTTTGAGAGTTTTTTCTTTTATGATTTGGGTATGTGCTTGAAATGAAGGATTTATAATTTTTGTAACAAATTGTGCCATATAATGATCATGGATCACGATAATTAAGAACAAATATCTATCTTCTCTTTTATTGAACATTACCTTTCTCAGTTATTTCCTTCACATGCTTTCATAGTCGACTTAATGTTTGTCTTACGCTTTTTATATTTTTCTATGTGTGCCTTTGTGTTTTGAGGTTTTTTCTTTACTGTATGTATAAATTCTGTAGCTGATCCATTTGGATTAAAAGATTTTTTAAGAGTAGAGGCAGCGGATCTACAAAAATTGAAGTGCTTCCAGTTTGTAAAAGTATGTGTATTTCATTGAGATCTACTGTGTGCTGCCGCTTAGATCTTATTGCCACTGATCGGCATTCCTTGTCTTTTCAATTTTAGCATTCTGTGGCAGTACTATATTTTTGTGTTATGCAGTTGAAAGGCATTTCAATATCACTGCAGCAACCTTGTTTGGTTACCTTGAGTTTACGCTTTTGCACGTTAAGTGGGGACTAGTCGTTGCATTTTTTTAATATGTGGGCAATGTATCGAAGATGTGCATTTCTGATGTGCCAGAAGCTTTAGCTGGTTGCATGAACTTTTCTTATATCTGAACTTTGTTTCTTGATATATGTCGTTACTGCACCCGATGTTGATGTTAATCATACAGCTGCACAGTCAAGTCCCCAAGTCAATCTGCCATGGAAACACTTATAGCTAAATGTAGAAATGGAAATAAGCCGCTGGTAGTCGCAGGATGTGTGCCTCAAGGAAGTCGTGATTTGAAAGAGCTGGAAGGAGTAAGTATAGTTGGAGTCCAGCAAATTGACCGTGTTGTAGAAGTTGTGGAAGAGACTCTGAAAGGGCACGAGGTGCGGCTTCTCACCCGGAAGACATTACCAGCACTTGACCTTCCAAAGGTGTAATAGCTGTATCTTATGCTTTTTACTTTTCGGTATACAAGGCCGGCCTTGAGAATTTAGAGGCCCTAGGCGACTAATTATTATGAGGTCCTTCAACATAATCATTTTTTTTATAGGTGTATCAAAATTTAAATATTTAAATAATTAATACTTTTATATTNTAAAAAGAAGACTTTATATAATTCAAAAGATAGAGTAACAAACTAAAACTTTTCTCACAACCAGAGAGATTAGTTTAGCATAAGATTTAACTTTCTCACATTTTGAGATGTAAAATCAGTAATCAAACTACTAAAATCAAGTTTTTCCAACATATTCTTTTCAATAGAAATCATAGCTAATCATAGCTAACCTTTGAGTACTTTTCCTGTCTCCGTTCTTCACCGCCACCAAGCTCCTCCTTTCCCCCCACAACGCCAATACCATTACCATTCCCATTTCCCACAACCCAGTTCCAACATCACAAATCACAATCAGTTAACAATTCAAATTCAAATCGAGAAATCCAAACGCCAACTCGTAAAAAATTTGGGAGAAAGACCCATGACAAAATGTTGGTACCCTCTTGCAAGCTTGAGGACCGCAACTTCTTTCTCTCAATTTAGAATATTATTACAGGAACCAGTAATCAAGATTCCAGGCGGTAGACACTGAGGCATAATAAAAGGCCAAACAAAAATTACTATGATAAAAACAAACACAAGAAAAGATTTCTAAACAAACAATAAAAGTCCAATTTTGGGCAATCATTAATGAAGAGCCCAGAATTCTAAACAAACATTCTTAATAAAAATCAATCACAAGAAAAGCTTTCTTGTCCCTTTCTCAGTATAACACATCAATATTCAATTGAGAATGCGAAGCAAACATATATGGATAAAGTCTCCGAGTATGATTGATATCTTACCCCCAAATCTTTTAGTCCACCGTCCACGTCCAAGCAACGCTGTATATTGGAATTTGGTGAGAGATTGTTGGAAAGCCGAGAAGAAGACATTAAGGATTTTGAGGGGTTTTTGGATTGGGGCTTTTTAGGCTTTTTTTTTTTAGAGGCCCTTAAAATTTGAGGCCCAAGGCAGTGGCCTTACTTGCCTTGGGCCAGGGCCAGCCCTGTCGGTATGGGATATTGTAGTTCTTCCAAATGCCATACTTTTAAGTACATGGCCGAGTTCAGCTAATTTTTAGTGAGAATTTTTTTTTTTGATTGATGAATTCAATTATTAATTTTATTGCTATGCTCATTTAACTATTCTCTCCGTCAGGTGAGAAAGAACAAATTTGTTGAGATCCTTCCAATCAATGTTGGTTGTTTAGGTGCTTGCACTTATTGCAAGACAAAGCATGCTCGTGGTCATTTAGGAAGCTACACAGTTGACAGCCTTGTAAGTTAACAACCACAGACATTTGAAATGTCAGTTTTTTTTTTTTTAAGTTCTTTTACGAAGTTTAATATTGTAGGTGGGTCGTGTCAGAAGTGTCATAGCTGATGGAGTAAGGGAGATCTGGTTAAGTAGTGAAGACACTGGAGCATATGGTATTTAGCATTATTTTTCCTGGTCATGTCTTGTGTAATTTGAAAAATACAGAAACTAGTATATTATTGGCACCTTCACATGCACAAAAATGTTTTGGCTCCCCCTGAAGCCAACTTTGTTTACGTTAAATTGATGTACCGTGATGTGAATATATAATTTGTCACTTCCACAACATTGAAAGGAACATGGAAAAAAAGAAGGAAAATAAAAGCTTCTAAAACACATGTTTGTAGCCACCACCCTAGCTACAACTCTACGCCCCGCCTAAGTGAATTCTTATGGTTGCATATTTGAGATACTCTGGTCTGATAATAAAACAATTTCTATTAGCAAATTACTGGCAAATATATATTTACTTTTGCATTAATGATTATCATAAGTTATATGCAACTTTAATAGTTTTGGGTTTGGAATTCTACAGGTCGTGACCTAGGAGTTAATCTTCCAATTTTGTTGAACGCTTTAGTAGTGGAGCTTCCCTCTGATGGAAGCACAATGCTTCGAATTGGGATGACTAATCCTCCTTATATTCTTGAGCACTTGAAAGAAATAGCTGAAGTTTTGCACCACCCATGCGTGTATTCCTTTCTTCATGTGCCAGTTCAATCTGGAAGTGATACCATCTTGAGTGTGAGTGTAAATTAGACCCTTTCTTCATGTGAACCATGCATGTACGTTCTTTGAACTTCCAGAATAATACCTCTTTTCCTTCCCTTCACTGTGAAATTGTGATTGTACGCTCTGAATATGACTTTGTGAAATGATACTTCAAGTATATAATATTGTCATTTTTCCATTTCAATCGGTTTACAGGCAATGAATCGTGAATACACAGTGGGCGAGTTCAGAACAGTGGTCGATACATTAACTGAAATGGTCCCTGGAATGCAGATAGCAACTGATATAATATGTGGGTTTCCTGGTATGTTACAGTTTTAGGCTTCCTTCTACGTCTCTCTAACTTACTCCTATGCTTCAATTTCTGTTATAGATGTTTATGTTTTCCTTAAAAAGTGCAGGCTTGATAGATCAAAATTTAGATGATTAATAGTTAAATATAGCTCTGCCCACAGAACAGCATACTGAAGAAAAGAAAATAAGAAAAAACCTCCATTCATATTGAATACTATGTTTTGACAAGATTATAGAATTAAATTCGGAGATATAAGGAATTTGTTGGGATTAAATAAATCAGTATTCTTTCTGGAAGATGAGCAAAAATATAATGTTCCAATGACATTTTTCTGTCTCTTTCTCATAATTTTTTTCTTTTGTTATTCCCAAATTTCGAGGTTTTTCCTTGCATCTAATAATATTGGTTACGTAAGTTGCACTAGCCACTCCAGATAGTTAGTCTGAAGTTAATATGTAAACAATACTCTGCTTCTCAGGCGAAACCGATGAAGATTTTGAACAGACGGTCGACCTTATCAAGGAGTATAAGTTTCCTCAAGTTCACATATCACAATTCTATCCCCGGCCTGGTAAGTAGCGCTTTTTTGTAGTTCTAGTTCATATTAGCCTTTTCGTTTTTAAATTTAATTCACCATTTCCTATGTGTCCTTTCAAAGGTCCCTACATTTTTTGTCCTTTGAGATTCTTATTATGGAAGTACAAGCTGGCTACACTATCTTGTGCTATCTTTCTGCCTTTTTGAGCTAAGAAGCACGGATACAGATATGGATGTGTAGTTCAGATACGCCGATACGACGTTTTGAAAAAATTAGGATACGCCGATACGTGTTATAAAATTTTATATAAATTTATTAATTTAAAAAATTAACACAGAAACATGATAATAAAAATACAATAAAATACTAAAGCACTTTATCTTAACCATTAATTGTCGATACTTCATTTTCTTCAACATCATCAACATCAATTTTTTCATTATTATTAAAAATAACACTTTCTAACTCTTGCTCATCTAATGATAGATTAGTAACCTTAAGTAGTCCAAAACCTTCAAGAATATCAAATAAGTCTCTGACAATGTCCTACATTTTGGATTTTCCTTTTAAATAGAGATCTAATTTTCTTAATAAAAAACGCAAATTGCTATGAATGAAAAACTAATTCTTCAGCTCATTGAGAGTTATTTTATCCCTTCTCGTAGGGTGTACAAAAGAGTACGTACTCCAATATTTTTCAACACTAGATGAAGAAGAAGGTTGCACAAGAAGTTTTAAAGCGATGTTTGTAATAAAGGTTTATGTGAACCATGATGTATAGGATACGTATCGAAAATCATACAAAAATGTAAAATAAATAAAAAGTATGTATTGAATCCGTATCGAAAATTAAAAAATATATATATAAAATAATTAAAAAAAAGTATTAAGTACATATCGAAGGGTATCGGAGTTTGGATACGTATTGGATATGAATTGTTAACAAGTTTACAAGTATCAGTGCTTCTTAGTTTTTGAGCATGATAATGACAAACTAAAACCACCTTTACGAAAAGGGGTAGAACTGTGGGGAATATTAACTAAAATTTTGATTCACTGAACTCAAATTTCCTAAGAAGGAGCCCGTCCTTAAAAGAGGGTGTAGCCCGATACTCTTTAACCCAACCCCTTTCCTCAAAGAGAAAAGTAAGAAACTGAAGAAGTTTTTTGATTTTTAGTGGCATATACTGACTACTGTTTAACTTGAGCTTATGGTACTTCCATATTTCGTCTGTTATTAATTTATTCCTTTGCTAGTGGATTTTTTTTTTCTCCTGGAATTTTGAAGCAGGTAGTCCATCCTCATCATGTAGTTGCCATCATGACCACACATCGGGTTTCGTTTCTTGATGAATATGTATAGATTTAATTAGACCATAAAATGTGCTTATTTTGTAATTATATGGTGCTTGCCTGAATCTTGCTTAGCAAAATCATCATAGTTGGATATTTTATTGCCTATTTTTTCTCGGTGCAGGAACACCAGCTGCAAGGATGAAAAAAGTTCCTAGTACTTCCGTGAAGAAACGAAGTCGTGAATTGACTAGTGTATTCGAATCATTTACCCCATATGTTGGAATGGAAGGCAAAGTAGAGAGGATATGGATCACAGATACTGCCACAGATGGAACTCACTTGGTAAGATTGTCTTGGGGTTCATTGATGTTTGATACCGTGAATTTTATAGATCTCTGATTTGTTTCTTAGTGGTGAAGTTGAATTTTTTCTCATTTGTCACAATCAGTCACAAGTGGAGTTACATTGATGAATAACAGTAGGGCTATATTAATTTTGGCTGTTAAGCTTTCACTGTAGTCTAATAACTATACTGCATTCTATGACTATTTTATTACTTGATATTCAAATTCAGCACTTATAGAGGAACTTAAGAGAGAGAACTTTATTTTGATATCGTCATATCAATAATTGGAAAGAATTTGGTACAACTTTGTGTATCATAGAAATCCATTCAAGCACCCCATCTATCAAAATGTGCAAATGGTTCGGATATAATGTTCTTGGTTAAGTGCCTCCCTGTACCACTAATATATTTTCCTTGCTTTAGGTGGGTCACACAAAGGGATACATTCAGGTGCTGGTAGTTGGCCCAGAAAGCATGTTGGGGACTTCAGCCATAGCGAAGATAACGTCTGTTGGAAGATGGTCAGTTTTTGGAGAGGTGATCGAGATTCTCAATAGAGGTAGTGCTTCTAGTGAGAGTCAGGATAACAAAGACACACCATGCTCAAACACGAGTGAAACTTGTGCATGTTCAGAAGAGCCAGAACCATGTGCTTGTAAATTGATAAGTAGCTGCAGACATGCTGAGGATAAGATTGTTTCGGTTCCCGGGAATGACCCAAGGCAAAGTGAACATAGTAACCAAACCCTCATTGGATGGTTAATTCGGAAGCGCAAGAACAGTTCTCACAAAAAGATGGAAAATGATACAAAGTTGGAATATGACAAAAAGCCGGGAACTTCTCATCATGGGTGCAATTGGGGTCATGTTGATAAAGCTCTTTTTGGTGGAATTCTTGTGAGCTTATTAACAATAATTGCTTTACTTTTGTACCTGGGGTCTAGAAGTTTGTCTTTTCAATGAACTTGTCGGGTTTTTCTGGGATGCTGCTGCATTTTGGGTCCTAAATTTGCACTTATTTCTAGACCTTAGAATCATACGAGTGATAAAAAAATCTAAACTATGTTGTAATCCTTGTGTTCCATTGGGTTTTTTGTGCTGAGTTTTCAAACATTTGTTGATGAAAGAATTTATTAAACATGGCATTTGAATCCTTATTTATGTATAAACAAATAGTAATGCTTACACTTAGTTCCTCTCATCCCATTCAACCGAAAATTGAAACGTGTCCTAAACAGATGAAGTATAGAAGAAAATTGTTGGTCTGTTACATATATTGAAGTAAATTCTTGAAGTAGAAGTTGCAAGCACTTGTGCACTAGGCAATTCGATTTTGTTTTATCTGCTGCCAACAATATTGCCCAGCTATCTTTCTGCTTTACATGAATGAGTAAATGAGGATTGAACTACCTTAATCTCATAGAAGCATGTCTGATTTGGAGGGTAATCTCTTGAAGAAATTGACAGGTACAGAAGGCATCTTGTGCCTGAACCTAGGATGGCGCAACCAGAAAAGCCCGGCCAGCACGGCCACAACCTGGAACGGGGTTACATACAAAAACACAGCCAAGATCAAAGCAAAGATGATAACGATTGCTGTAGCCCTGGGATCTCTCCAGCTTAATATTGAAATAGCTCTTTCCCCTTGCGTTGCCAAATCTCCCATCACAGTTTGAACTCTGCCTGCAACACTTCGCAGTCTATCATACCTCATCCTCACAATGTCTGTGGGTCGAGAGGATGGAAATGTATCAAATTCCTCGTCCAGTTCATCAGGATGAACATTCTCGGCTTGAGAGAGTCGAGCATCCATGTGAGGCGGATTCCTTGGTCTGAACCGGTAGTTCCACAGGCCAATGACGAAAAGATAGAGGAAAATAGTTGGCAAGATCAATTCCGGGTAGCAAACCAGTACCAAGAACAAAACATGTACGAGGATAGTGGTCAGGGGGTTTTTCCAGTAACAGATTCCATCAAACAATCTGCTGACATATGAAATCCCAGAAACAAGCAACATTATACGTTGGAAGTTGGCTTTGCTCCTCCTGAGGCTAAACATATGGTAATCCACATCCAACATGTACTCGACTATCTCCCTTCGGAGTGGTGGCTCGGCCCTGGATAGTCTCGCAGCCACTATCTGCGTTGCCTGGTGGCGGAGCCAATCAATGTGCCTGACCGATATGGGCTGCACATAATGCATCTTCGGAAGCAATGGCTTCCCATATTGTGTTACCATGTTCATCCAAGCAATACAGGAGAACCGTAGTGCTAAATGGAGTTCCCCGTGTTTCTTCAATCCCGAAGGTGAAAGAACCAGCAGTGGATAAAAATGTGTATAAATCCTATCAGTTTCTAAAGTTGAGAGCCTAATTCTCACCTTTCCTATTCTCTGATCCTTTACATCATCCTTTCCATTGATGTGGTAATTGTCGAAAACACCAATTGTAATCACAGTACATGGATCATAAACCTCCCACGTATACTGCTCATTCCAACGAGGATTCAGTGTGTCAAGAAGTGTTCGAGTTCGAACCCATTTGTTCCCATACTTTGCCACACAATAAGCATCTGTAGTTCTTCCATCTTTGGCCTTCATTGGCAGCAAATTGCGAGCACTCAAAATTCCAACTTCAAGAATTCCAATGTTGGGCTTCCTTAGATGCTTTGATGATGGCTGAAGATTACTACTGAAATGCGTAGACTCATCAAGAACATGGTAACCGGCATCTATACAGAGCCGGAGAAGGATTCTGCTTGCGAATTTTGACTCTTTCTTCTTCTCCCCTTCTTCCTCTGCCACAGAATGCTTGTGAAGAGCATGCCAGCGCGGTTCTGGAAGCTTGGTTTCAACTCTTTGTGGAACTTCCCGAACTGGTATGATCAGTCTTCCAAGTACTTCATCCTTGCCAGGTCCAATTCTATCCTCAACAGTTATAATTATATACTCATCGAAAGGCTCGGATACTACGAATATAAGTTCCTCATTCCACTCTGGATTGATGTGTTTCATTGGAGAAGGCCTAGTGGGTCTAATCTGGTGCCCTATCTGCACCCTCACAAATATATCCAGTTGCCGCCCCCTGTCTGAAGGAACAAGATCTTGAGCGGCGATGATATGGGCTCGAAGATAATACAATTTAGGAGAAAAATACACCTTTGATCGTGTACTGGCGAGACTTTGTTGGCTTACGTTGTGAGCATCAGAGTGCCAAGCCTCTGGGAATGTCTCATCAGCTTGTGTTCCCATCCAAACTGCAAGCATAATCTCCCCATGGTGAATCTTCTCCCCCTTCTTATTATCCAATTTATACCACTGAGGAGCCAATGGACTGTCAGGTGGCACTCGAACAGGCACATCTACTATATCAAACAGAACTTTCCCCACAAAATCATCCTTCCCAATATCCTTATCTTTTACTGTAACTTCAATCAAATTGGACTGTAATCTCTCTTTAGAAAATGCGAAAACTTGGTTCCATACCGGATTTTGATTCTTCTCGAAGTGCTTAGTCACTCCTTTGTAATTACCAACCTTCACCTCAACATATGGATCAAGACTCCCTGATATGTCCATCACTGGAAGATCCTTAGCCTTGACAACATTCACATACAGAAAATTCATCTGCTCCACCAAATCATAAGTGCTTGCTGTCTTGTCCCTTCCCCAGTATCCCATTCTTGCAGCCAAAGGAGGCCTAGTTTCCACCAATCCATAGTCAGGTTTCTGACCCGGAAATTGCATCTGCATAACAGTGGCTGCAGGGGCCGGTCCAGCCTTCGCAAAATCAGTCCGGGGTTCCATTGAAACTGGCTTTTCAGCTGGAGGTGGAGGGGGAGGTGGCCTGGTTACTGGACCACCAGAACCTGTTCCAAGAGAGTAAAAGGTCATCACTTCCTTTTCCTTCTTCTTCTTGCTCTTCTCGGGATTTTCCTTGTAGTGGTACTCTTCATCAAGCTTATTAGTATTAATCTCCTGTAAAGGAGTACTTTCTGTTGCTGATTTATGATGATGATGAGAAGGATTTTCCACTTCCTCGGGTGGATGAAAAGACTCGGCCTGAGCCTGAAATTCATTAACATTTCCATGCACCGCATAAATTTTCAAAGCAATATCACCCTTTATGTTAGAAAAAAACCCTCTTTTATCAAGAGGGCATCTCTGAACCATGGCTTCAGCCTCAGAAAACGGAACAGACCCACCGGAAATCAGAACCCGGCCGAGAAAATTCTTATGATTGGCTTGTTTATTATCATTGTAAACAAAAATTTCAATGGTTTGATTTGGAAAATCTATGGGATTCTTTACATTGAAAACAAGCTTTTCATTCCATTGAGGGTTGAGATCTTTAGGCTTTGTTGAAGTTTTTTGGCTCTGTTCTTCAAATTTGACTTGTACAAAGGGACTTGCAGAACCATGGCCATCTTTGGGCATGAGATCACTAGCATCAAGGACTTCTACCACAAGTTTGGCCATTGATGATTAGGCCAAGTTCCGTGCCGGAAATCAAGATAATGCTAAAGAAATTATGGTTGAAAAGAAAGTGGGTCGAGAGAGAGACGATTAAAGAAGAAGACAATGAGGAAATAAGGAATGAAAGAGGGGAAGGAAAAATAGTAGTCGGTGGGGATGTCACTGAGGGTATTATTTGGAGTAACAAGACAGGAACATACGTTTGTAAGTTGATATCTAGGAGAAAAATATGCGATTGTTTTTTGTCGGAATGAGGTGGCTTTTACACTCGTATGTCTCTTTTGCTTTCTTGAATCTTGTATGTATATCTCTAAGTGTACTACACATACATACAGAGATAGATGGGAGCGAAGGCGGGGGCAGGGGTAGGCAGGGGCTTGATTATATGGTGGATATATTTCAGTTCGCGCACTTAAATTCATACGTTGTAAGATTGTTTACTCAAATCAAGACACCAAAAATTTTGGGTGGTAAATCCACTTTGTTATTGAAGTGATTTGGGATCTGACATGTCGTAATTTAAATGTATTTTACCTATAGAATCGTCCTATCCAAGTATTTTTAGGTAAGGTGGCAGTGCGAGGGTTGGGTAGGTGGGGGCTTGATCATGTTGTGGTGGGGTGGCTGTGGCCTGCGGGGGAAGTTCTATGGAATTGATTAGAAGGTTCTGGGGTAGGTGAGGGGTTGTTACTTTTGAATGGATTGGATGGATTTCGTTTTCAAGGGTGTTAGGGAAAATACATAAAATCTGGTATTTGCACGACAAATTATCGTGAATAGTAAAGTTTCTTTAAGGAATATTTGGTGTATATTGATAAATAGGATTATTAATTCGTAATGTTTATCTTACCGAACAAGCTGTCCATAGATTGCTATCAAATTAAATTTTAAGGGAAACTTCAGAAAAAATAAAAGAAAATTTATTGTCAATGACAAAATTAGTACCCAATTGGTGAGAAGAATAATGATCTCTTTATGTTGAAAAGTCATCGTACGTGAATAATTCTTCATTTACTTTGATATTCTTCTTACTCAGAATTTAAGAATGGACTTTTCATTTTCTTCTTATATGGTCCTTCTCGTTAAGTCATTTATAAGTTCGAATTAAGCAATATTTCATATTTTACCATAGTTATTCTCTCATGGAAAATACTTACTTTACATCATCATTTACATAATATTTACATATTGATGAAGTGTCAAAAAGAAAGTGAGAGATTTATTTATTCATTTTTTTTTTTTTGTTGATAAGATTTTGGTCCAATCAAATCTAGTCACATCATCTGTTGGCAAACAAATATATAAGTGATGGTATCCACATAGCACAATCGATGCGTTCATTACCATGTATCCATTTTCAACGCAAACCAATGAAAAAATTGTAAAAACGTATTTGTTGGGGAGCAACAAAATAGCTCTTAACCTCATGGGTTGGATCAGTCAAATGATAGTGATCGAATGCAGCTTAAACACTACCATTATTCCTGTT